TGGCGCGAACAAAGCTTCTCGATGCCAGGCCACAGTGGGCATCCCGAAGCTCTATCAAGTCCTCACCCTTGCTTGTTTCTGGCCAGAATCACACACACACACACACACACACACACACACACACACACACACACACACCACCCACCCCCTGCCAATGATTACTGGCGAACTCATTATCCTTAGAACCACTCTATTTCCTGTCTTACCTTGACAGGTAGGCATCCTGTTACTCCATGATCCATCCTTCAGACACTCAATCTGGAATGTGTCCATCTCCACGTCATCCTAGGGAGAAGCATGCAGACGTGGTGAAAAGAAGGAAGGGGAGGGTGGCTCAGGCGGTTAATTTTAAGCTCCAACTCGAAACCTGACTGTCCTCACCTGGGATTGTCCAACCAGGAGCCTTCAAGGACAAGCTAATACAAAATACCAAAACAGATGCTGAAATCACATTCACTTCTCAGAGCCCGAAGAGAAGGAGGAGGTGTTTGTAAGAAGGATTCGGGCAATGGTCTCTGAGGGAATTGCTGAGCCCTTAAACTTCATCTTTAGGGGTCTCAAAGCTAGAGCACATCAGCACCATCTGTCAGGCTTATTCATCAAAGGCTGGCTTGAGTTTCCAAAAAACATGGGTCAATAGAATCCGACAAGCAGGACAAGTCTGGACCACCCCTGCAGTGTCTGATTCAGGAGGTCTAGTGTGAGGCCCAAGAATTGGCATTTCTTGCCAGTTTCCAGGTGACAGTGATGCTGCTGCTCTAAGAATGACACTTGGAAAACAACTGCTTGGAGCAGATGTCCTCGAGATTCCCTTAAGAAGCGTGAAAGAAAAGCTGGCCCCGGGCCTCCAGCCCCAGTGCCTCCGCTTTCATTGCTCTACAATGAGACTGCGAAGGTTATTTTTTTTAAGCTACCTAAGTTGTTTCTTGGAGAACTGCTGTTTTAGGGACAGTGTGAGTAGGGCTTGGCATATTTAAACCCTTTGCTCAAAAAGCTGGTCAAAAGGTTAACTTATAGGTATATGATTTCACCCCACAAGTAAAACCAGAGAAACCCCGGACCTTTGCTTCTTCGCCAACTTTCCACCAAATAAGCCAGTGACTTTTGTGAAGGTTGCTAGTCTTGATCTTAGGGCTATCTCTTCTGGTAAAAGACTTGCTCTTTCCCAAAGCGAGAGCGCATCTGGGACACGTGCTTTGGATCTCCAGAAGACTTGAACTTCTGGCCATGTTAGTGATTGATGGGAAAGCTAGGAAACCCTGTGCCAGGACTCTGAGACGGTCCAGAAACCCAGCTTCCCCGGGAGGCTCAGAAGAAATTCTTCTGGGCTGGTTTTCTCATCTGCAGAATCAAGGCCTGTACCTTGAGCACTTTGTAGCCTGTGTCACAACGGATGAGCACTTGGTCTTTGAAGAAATACTTGGCTTGCACGGGCTCGATTTTCCCATGAACAGGAGGCTGCAACTCTGGGCACTCATTCCCTGATGGGGAGCAAATGAAGGGACAGCAAGTGAAAAGCTGGGAAAATTCTCACAAGGGGAGAATTCGCCCAGAAACAGGAGGTGGGGAAACCCCAGTACTTAGGTTGGGAGACCTGAACCATCTAGGCCCTTCTGGGCATGGACTCTCTTCAACCTTCAACAAGTCAGCATCTCCTTATTTTGAAAATGAGACTGGCTAGATCCTTTTGTTAAAACTCAGGATGGGAAGGGGATTAAGCGCTTTTGAGTCTAACCCTTGTCGGTTGCTTCTTCTACAACACCCTCCTGAGTCGACATGTGTACATCTGTTCCCCCCTTGTCCCTTCATACACGGATGTCTCTGATGAAATGATTAGTGTTTCAATATTCAGATAAGATTGTCTCCCTATCACTGGATGTCATTTGCCTCTCATAATGACCCCAATGTTTCTTTTTCTCCAAGATCATTGTTCCAACCGCCAGCAGAGTGTGAACAGGTGTGTCGGAATGGTCTACATCAGACACGGTCCTCAGGCCGGGATCCCTCCAGATATTTTCGCCTGACAAGTGACTGTTTGTTAGACCCTTGCTCTACCCTGTTCCCAGAACGAGATCCCGAATATGATAGCATGGACAGAACAAAGCCCCAGAATCTATGCACTGTGGGTTAGTTATGATGAGCTGTGGTCTTTTTGTCACCGCTGTTCACCCTCTTCCTTGACTTACAGCAGACCCTTGGGACGAAATGGTCGTATCAAGCGTGGGTAGTACTCAGAGCCTGAGGGAATGGAGAATGAGACCTGTGAGCCTGGCCAGTCTGGATAGTCCACACGGAAGCAACAGCCATAATGAAACATGGCTCCCGGACCCACAGCTAAACGGCAGCTCCGGACACAGAGAAGGCTGGAGCTCGACAGATCCTCTCAAGACCTAGTGGATCCTAGCACGAGGGGGGTTAAGAGACCAGATTTTTGTTTGAAGCTCCTCTTGTGTTTCTGAAGTACAAAAAGCTTTGAAAACTACTAGCTGAGTCCAATCCTTGCCTTCCTCAACTCCTGCTGTAGGAGAGAGCACGTGTAGAGACCTAGGTGCTCAGTGGGGCAGATGGAGTCCTGTCAGGTCACCAGAGAAGGCCCAGGCCAGCACCCCTCCTCCCTCTCTCTCCCTTGGTCCCCAAGAGGGCTGAGCATGGTGGCAGTCACCTGGGAGGGGGAGCCTGTGTTACCTGCCGCTCTATACGAGAGCCTCCAGCCCCGGTTCTCGCCCGAGTTATCACTGTGGAACACGATCTGGATGCTGTGACTCTGCGTATTGATGGGTTCTGGGGCTTTCTCTCCACAGAAGGGTCCCAGTATTTTTGAACCAACTTTAATCTATGAGGCAGAAGATAGAGAAAGAAGTACTGCTTTGGAATGGCTGACGTGACTTCTGTAGGACAGCCCTCCACTGTCAACTGGGGATTCTGGAAGCCCCGGGGTGGACCCATGGTATTCCCCCATGTTGTTGGTTGGCGTTATCATTCACCACACAGTTCCATCCCCACTCTCCCATGCACACTTTCCAGTGGCTCCAGAAGTGAGTAAGGCAGCCCCTTAATTCTCTGCTAGGTAAAATATGAACATGTTGTAGTTCAGAGAGGTGTAGAGTCCTGCTCAGGAGTACAAAGAAGACAAAATTTCTCTTTAGAAAAACCAGCAGCTTAGTCAGGGGAGAGAACAAGAAGTAAATAATTATAGGCTATGCTAAGGCTTATAGAAAGAATCAGCAGGATTGATATAATACCTCGTGTATTTTTGGATATTTATCACGCAGATAGTAACACTTATATCGCTTACATTGTTCATCATGTACATAAATGAAATGAGTAGAGTAACTGAGAGAGGTGGTCAGGGAAGGCCTTTTTGAGGAAGTGAGAGTTTATGTAAAGGTGAAGGTGAAAGGTGGAAAGAGTTTGGCGAGTTTTAAGAGCAAAAACAAGAAGCTTGTGTATTTGAATCCCAGGAGTATGGTAGAGAGTGCCCTGTGCTTCCTTGAACCAGCAGGCAAGGGGCACGTGTGTTATGGAATTTACACTCAATTCCAAATTCAATCTTCATCTCATCCAGGCTTTATAAACATAAGCTTGGATGCTACATGAGGATAGATGATGTAGGGCAAGAGTGGAAACACGGAAGTGAATTTGGCGTTGACTGGGTGGGATGGAGAGGGGGAGGATGGAGAGAAGGGCAAAATGTGACTCCCTGATCCACCTTTCTCAACTCCAGGCCTGGGCCCTTCTCTCGCTTACCACCCCTTTGTTTGTCATCTGTGAGGACCAGGTCTCCTTAACCCTCATTTGGGGACTTCCACAATCTTGGGCGACATCTTTGTCTTGTCATCTCTCTTATGAAGAAGGGAAAAAAGTAAAGCCCCAGAGGTTAAATCCTGGATAAGGCTCACATCTCCCAGGAGACGATGTGTGTAGGAGAAATGCTAAACTACTCTCAGAACCTTCTCTCTCAGGGCTACTTTGTGAGAATGTCAATTCCATGGCAAAAGAGATTTTGTGCATGTAATTAAAGGTACTAATCCAATACTTTAGGGATAAGGCTATTATCTGATGGACCTAACCTAATAACACAAGCTCTTCAAAAGCACAATTTTTCCCCAGCTAATAGCAGGGCAGGAAGTCAAACCTGAAATATAAGAGGAACTCAGTGGAGGGAAGTTCTTTTGCTGAGATGAAAGGAATCACGTGGCGGGACTTGCACCTACAACTTCAATTCTATGACCACAAGTTGAATTTGAATGCCAACTTGAATGACCTTGGAAGTGAACTCTTCCACAGTCTCTAGAAAAAAGCCCAGTCTGACCATCACCTTGATTTTGGCCTTGTAAGATCCTAAGCAGAGATGCCAATTGATCTCACTTAGACTTCCGACACACAGAACTGTAAACTAATTTGTTGCTACCCAGCAACAGAGACAAATGCTCTGTGCTTTCTGCTAGACCACTTGACGTCAAGCTGTCTCTTAGCCACCTTATCCAAGTATCAAGTTTGTAAGTTTTCTTTCCTAGACTCTCAGATTTCTTTACCTCTCCTAAGCCCTCGTTGACATTTACCATTGCTGACAGACTCCCTCTTTGACAGGCTAATTGTTTTTGCTCTCGGCCTCTAACTGCTCCACTGCTCCCCATTTGTGGGCACTTCTTCCTCTGCCTTCGACTCTTAGTCTGTTGTGTTTTTCTATCTTCTTCCCCAGGAGCTCCCACCTGTTTCTGTGGTTCGCGCTCGCTCTGCGAGGCACCTATCGTCAGCGCACACTCTGCGGGGCTCCGGCAATCAAACCCTCACATTCAGATGTGTGCTCCACTTGGGTATTTCAGCCAATCACACTCCAAGGGTTGTGGATCTTATTTGTTACATCTCTCAAAATACTGCTTCCACCATCCTAACCACAGCTCCCGTTCAAATGCACATTTTACCGACATCAACAGAATAGTAATCACAAATTGAGTTACTATTGGCCCAACCAGGACCACCTCGTTTCAGGATGCAGTGCCGAAGGAGAATGTGGCCCTTGATATGAAGTTATGAAGAATGTCAACGATGTAATAGCAGGTCATTCACCCAAGCATTAGCCCTCTGAGCAGAGTCCTGGCAACTGAATCAGTGGAATGCCCCCAGAGCTGGCCTTCCAGCATATTCAAACCTGAAACACCCGTTCTTAAACTACCCTGAGAGTCCAGCATCAAGTTTGATCACCTATGGGGAAACTCTAGGCAGGAGCTCACTAAGCTGGTGGATGTTGTTTTTAATAACAACAACATTAATACTTTTTTCAAAGAAATTAGCTGCTTGGTTTCTTATCTAAGGAAGAAGTAAAGGCCCCAGAATATCAATTTGCTCAAGTCAGCAGCCAGGGTCTTGTTCGGGGAAATGTTCATCGCAGGCTTACCTTGATGTAATCGTAGGGGCAGGATACCTCAGGATGGTCTTCAATGTCAAAAATGTCCTCAAATTGCAGGCTGACCATGAAGCCCTCCTCTAGCTCGATGGCGTAGAAGCATTCAGAGCTCTTGGGATAAGGGTTGGGGAAGTCTGGGCTGGTGATCACGCCGGTCCTCTGGGTAAAGAGGTTGTCGCTGCATTCCACTGTGGGAAAGGTACCAGAGCAAGATGACACACCACAGCCATCTTTCCTTACCTGCTACTCTATCTGGTTTTCCCAGTGGTCTCAGGAAATCAGCCCGGATGGAATCAATGCTACAGTTTACATATATGAAATATGGAAAAGTGAGGGGAAATGATTTGTCCACAGTCATACATGCACTTATTCATGTTCACACTCAAGACTCAGACTCAGGCCTTCTGGCTCTCTCTCCGGGGCACCTCTTTTTTTTCTTTTTCAAAAGGAAAAGTTTTATTGCCTGCGCAGGGACCATCAGCCCTCTTTGAGAGGAGACTGAGCGGTGGCCTGTCTAATTTTCCAAAGGATTTTATACTTTTGCAATGTGCAGGTGTGCAAGCAAGCAGAGTACAGAAGCAGGATAGTGCGGCTAGCCCTTCTTAGTCGAACAATAACTGCTCTTAGTTCTTCCGAGCCTCCTGAACATACAAGTCCGTTGTGCTTGTCAGCACAGCCTGCCTCCCTAATATTAGCTAGTTTATTTATAGTTGATAGCTAGTTCATTGATAGTTTATAATGGCTTCTGTCAGCTCAAAATGGCTTCACTCGTGTTAAGGCTATTTAAGCTTTCCCTAGAGCTACTACACTCATAAACTCAAATTCCCAACGCTGTGATTAGCTGCGGTGTGTCTTTGCTCTGCCCCAGACTCCGCCGAATCCTTATGTTATTGTTGTTTTTGTCTGGGAGCCTGGCGTGGATTCCGACGTGGAACAACGCTATGCGGAACAGAACCAAGCGCCATCCTCACCATGATGGTTAGTCTGAGCCCACGGTGGAAGCGGCAATTGCTTTGAAGGTCTTCTTTTTTCCACTGACCTCTTACTCCACCAAACTGGGTGTCCTTCTCCAGGGACTGGTCTCTCCCGATAACACGTCCGAAGTACTGAAAGTCTCACCGTCCTTGCTTAGAAGAAGCCTTCTGGCAGTGCTTCCTGGGCACACCTCATAGAATTCTCTCTCCTTTCAAGAGGGGCTTTAGCTTGTCGGCTTGTTCACAAGTGCCGTTTCTATAAGGTCCTCACGACAGCTAGGAAAATGGAGCTGGCACCCCGGGTTGTTCGTTGCTGTCATGTGGGAAACGGGGAACCAGGAAGACATGTGGACATATTTCAGGAGTCTGGGAGGCGGACTCTGATGGAGGGAGGCCTTCATGCTTGTGAGTTGGAGATGCACCCCAGTCAATTTCTTCTAACTAAAAGTTATTCCCCACAATGCCCTTCCCCCACATAATAATGCCTTCTTTAGATGCTTCCGACAAGCTCATGGCTCCTACTATGCACTTCTCCGGAGCACCTCTTTATCTGGTGTGATGCTTTGTCTCATCAGATTCTCTGATACTAGTCGGGGGTGATGAAAGAATGAAAACGGAAAGAGAGAGAGAGAGAGAGAGAGAGAGAAAGCAAGAGAACTTGCTGTCGCTCTCCTTGTCTTCCCTTTGGACTAAGGTGTTTTGTGCATTATGAAAATTTAAGGAGCCATAGAAAAGAAGAAACTGTTGTGTGAGGCATAGTTCAGAGTTCAGAGAGAGAAGACTGGGGAACCCAGCTTTTTCCTTGAACTTGAACAAGCTAATGACCTATAGTAGGAGAGGAGATGAGGCTCAGGGACAAAAATGGGCCACTTGGCCAGATATTTTTGTTCTCATGTTGTTCTTTGGTCACTTGAGCCCAGGATCACAGCTAGGAGGGAATTCTAGCATCTTCATCCCCAAGGCATCTCAGGTCTATATCTATGAATTGCATTTTAATTATTGCTATGCCTTATACTTATGGGCTCTCTCTAATCCCTTTTGGAAGATGTGCACCTAAGGTAGTATATGGAATTATCCCTAGGTCCTACCTCGGCAGGTCCTGTTGTCCGTGTGGAGGAGGTAGCCAAAGCGGCAGGAACAGTAGTACCCACCAATGTAGTTATGGCAGTAGTGGTCACAGGCCAGCTCCTCATCCTCCCTCTCAGTGCACTCGTCCACATCTGCAGGGTAAGTAGAATCCCCCAGTCATTAATACGCACGACGATGAAAACAGTCAACAGTTATAGACGCTGACCATGGCATGGCCACTGCGCTGGGAAATATATAGATTCTTGTATTGATTTCTCACATAAAGCCCAAGGGCAGCAATTGTCTCAATTTTGCAAGTGGAGAAACTAGAGCTAGTGAAGGTAAGGCAACTAACCCAAAGTCGTAGAGAAGCAGGTTTGAACCCAAGCTACTATGGTACCACTATGCCCTAACAGCTCTAAGGATAGCTGTGTGCTCAAAGGTACTGCCACTATCCCCATGCGAAATGATAAGCCACAGATACAGAGGAATTAAGTAATTGATTCAAAGTTACACAGGTAGGTAGTACATGGCCGAGTTAGAATTCAAATCTCAGTGGGTTCACTCCTGAGTCTGGGCTCTTCACAACTACTCCATGATCCCTTTCTCTCTATTTCTAAGTGCTTAATAGGTGCCAGTCTTATCCTTGGCATTGGGGAAACAAAGATAAAAAGGCACATCTTCTCTCTTTTTTTTTTTTTGGCTTTTTAAAGAAAGTCATTTTATTGGGGGCTCATACAACTCTTATCACAATCCATACATCAATTGAATCAGGCATGTTTGTACATATGTTGCCCTCATTCTTTTCTAGACTTTGTTTGGCTTTTAATCATACTGCTATTACATTTTTTACTGGCACATAATTCACATAACATACAATTCATCAGCTCTCTCATTTAGAAGGATTGTGCAAACATCACCACAATCAAGTTTAAAACATTTTCCTCTTTTTTGTAGTCATTGTTGTTAGTTCCCCATGTCCCCTCAAGCTCTCTTGACACATTCCTAGGTAAGTTCTATAGAGATACCATCTCTATAGATTTCATAAACACATTTGGATATGAATTTTATATGCAGAAAAGCCATTAAAAAACACCCCAAGACACAAAGAAGCCATCAGCAATGACAAAATCAAACCAGAAAAATCTCAGTTGAAAAGAAAGCAGCAAATATTAAAAACTAGAACAAATTAAAAATTGACCCAAAGGATGATCAAATGATAAAGTGTTACAGATTAACCTATCTGCATCTGCTATAATTAAGTGTAAATGCTCTCTGTCTGATAGCAAGGCTGTTCACATCCTTGGACTATGGACAGAGGGCATTTACCTGAAGCTTCATTCACACGAGGACCCTGAAAAAAAAATCCATTTGCAAGGCACATCTTCTCAAACCCAATTTTTAAAATCTGCAACCATTTTGAACATCTTTCTCCAAAGAAAATATAGAGTATCTCAAAACAAGATGCTCGACATCATTAAGGGTCAGAGAAATGCAAATTAAAATGACCATGAGGTGCCACGACCCCAAACAAATCAAACCAAACTGACTGCCTTTGAGTTGATGTGGACTCATCGCATCCGTAGAGGACAGACAGCACTTCCCTGTGACTTTCTGAGACTGCAGCTCTTTGGGGGAGCAGAAAGCCCTGTCTTTCTCTGGTGGCGTGGCTCGTGGTTTTGAACTTTGACCACTATGCCACCAGTGGTACCACTGCACATCCACCAAAATGGCTAAATATTGAAACAACGTGTGTTGTAGAGAAATCAGAACTCTCTTGCACTGGTGGTGGGATAAAAATGGTATGAACACTTAGAGAAAGGTCAATAATTTCTTCAGAAATGAAATGCTCCAATATACTTACCAGAGAGGACCATTCATTCGCTTTCATCACATCACGATTCACTGCTACACACTCTTCAAGACTGGGGTCAACTTCAAGAGCTAGCTTACCCACAATAGTGTGTATTGTGCTTCCAGTGGAAATGAAATCATATGTTCCCCAAAAAGACTCATGCAAAAAGGCTCATAGCCACTGTGTTCACGATCGCTTCAAAATGGAAGGACCATAGCCATTGATCAATGGGAAAATGGATAATCAAATTTTAGTAAATTAATACAATGGAAAAATTACTCTGCCCGGAAAATGAGTCAAGTGTTGATAATTACAATGCCGCGGATAAAAGGCAATATACTGCATTACTCCCAATGCATTTCCTCTGTGTTCATTTACATGAAACTAGAAGATTAGCACAACGAATCTTTATTGACTACCATCGAGTCAAGAGCAGCCCTTGGGATGAGTAGAATTGGCTCTTTGGAGTTCCAAAGCTGTATATCTTTATGGAAACAGAAAGTTTTCTCTTTCTCCTGAGGAGTGACTGTGGGTTCAAACTGCTGACCTATGGCCCACATTCCATGTCGTTTTGGGATTTAGTGAACAAATATTGAACTCTAGTTAATGATGCACATAAGTATTTAGAAGGAAGTGCACGGATAGAGGGGTCAATGGACAGAGACGGGGTAAATAGAGGACAGGAGAAATAAATGGGAGCATCCACCTGGTGAGTGTTCAGCTGTCATCAGTTCTCATAGTGCTGGAAAAAAGGAGGCAATTCTGGCCCTTTAGAGGAGATCTAAGCAGAGTCAGGACACTGAGGTGTCAAAGCCATTTGCCTCTGCATTTCCCCTCACAACTTATAAGCATCGTTGCACACTGGACCCTCCAACAACTCTGCGAGGAGGCAAGGACCCATGGATTTAGTCTTACACCACATAGAAAAGAATACCTTTTAAGACCAGATAAATGTCTGGCCCAAGCTCATACAGCGAGTCACAGCAGGACCTTTTAGCCGGGACCCTCTTCCCAGCTCTGCCTCTCCTTCTCAACAGCACGCTCCTGCTCAGCAACAAGTTCGTGCTAAAAGTCCACGGTGATGGCAGGGAGGGAGGGGGAGACTGTGTCTCTATTGGAGAAGTAAAGGACAGGACCTCTGAGCCGTGGTGAGTTTTGATCTGATCTTGAAGAATTTGTCGAACGGAGTCAAGATGTGATCAAAGTAGAGTGCAAAAAATATCTAGACACTGGACAGATTCTTCAAGGAGAGGTGGTGGGAGAGCTCAGAGCAAATGTGGGGAGTAAAGAGTGTTTTAGTCGGGCTGGAAAGTAGCAGGATTTTTGTTTTTGAAGAGAGGTATAAATAGCTAACTTGGCAAAGAGGCTGAGCCTGGATTGTGGAGGACTTTGAGTGACAAGTGAAGAAGCACAGAGCTTGGAACTGGAATGGCAGAGCCTGGAGGGGAGGGATCATGGAGAGGTGCAGTGACTAAAGACTCTAATGGACAACTGCCTTCTTCCCAGCTCTTTACTAGAGAAAGAGAGAGGTGAGGAGAGGGTAGTAAAAGTGGGGAGAGGAGGAAGGCACGAGGAAGAGGAGGAGAGAGCAATCTTTAGAGAGAGAGAGGGACAAAGTACCCACTTCTAACTTACCCACAGCCATGTAGTGCGCATCAAAGCCCGTGAACCGTTCCTCATTGGAGAAATCTGATCGGAAAGTGATGGACATGAAGGAGCCAGGGGAGAGGACTGGTTCTTGGCCAGGGGTCTGCTCTGTGTCCGTGGTCTCCCTGCCACAGAAGCTCACCAACACCTGGTCTTCAGTTTCTACCTTTGGAATCAAAGGGAAAGGGAACAAGGTGAATAGCTTCCTGAGAGGGCTTCGTCTCCAAGACCGAAATGGATGGTGGCTGCTCATGAGTCCCACAGGCAGCTTGGGAAACCCAAAGAAAGGGGGTTGGGGATTTGAAGACACATTACAGGTTAAGTCAATGCCACCCTCGGTCACGATTTCACTTAATTTTTTTAGTACCATCATAAGTGCCTTGACATTTTTCATTCTTGTTGACTGTCGGTTGGTTTCTCTGTTGGAAATAATTCAATGCTAAAACGACGTAGAAGTTAGATAGCTTCAGAGATGGGCTCCATGTCATGGTTAGGTGTCGCAGACCCAGTTCTAGCACAGAAGGACCCCACGTACAATGGAATGGAGCACCTCCCATTCCTATACAGTCCTCACAACTGTCATGTTTGACCCCATTGCTGCAATTCCTCTGGTTGAGAGTCTTTCTCCTTTTCCTGAACCCTTAATTTTACCAGAACAATGTTTTTTTTTTTCCTCCAGGAATTGTTTTTTCCTGATATCATCGAGTCCAAAATATATGAGACTTTGTCTCACCATCCTTACTTCCAATGAGCATTCTGGCTGTACTTTTTCCAAGGCAGATTTGTTTGCTCTTTTGGCACTTTATAGTACCTTTGATGATCTTCACCAACGTAATCACGCAAATGCACCAATTCTTTTGTGATCTTCCTTATTGTGATGGTTAGGTTTATTGTGCCAATGAGGGCAAAGAGATAAAGGGCTCTGAAGGCCTGCCCCCATCTCTCTTGCTCTCTGGTTGATCAATGTGCTGGAGTGTGATGCTGCTTTAGCTACTTCTCTGCCTCAACCTGTAAGCTATACTACCCTTGGGCCAGGCCAACCTGTGGATCGTGTCACTAGAACTTGAGGCTCTTTTGAGACCTACTTCACCATGCTGCTGGTGCATACATCGCTTGAGCTTGAGGCTGGTGGGTTCTGTTGTCTTGCATTGCTTGAGATCAATATCCCATCCCGGTCTGCTTCGCTAAGCCCCTTAGCTAAAGACTTTTGCTGGCCCACCCTGCTGTTTGCTGCCTGAAGACAAACTCTGCCTGCCTCGCTCCAGGGAGGACTCAGCTATCTGCTTCCTTGACCTTGGACCCGGCAGCCCAAGAGTTCCAATATATTTACTGTTCTATGAAAGTGAGTTGAACTGAGAGCCCTCTGTACTGCAGTGTGGACTAATTAGCTGTTGTATTCCTTCTTGCTGTATAGACCTATGCTCTTAAATATATATAATCATAAGTGCCGTGATTTTGTTTCTCGAGAGAACCCTGCCAAACACACTTATTCATTGTCCAATTTTCACATGATTCTGAGGCGATTGTCAATACGAGAGTTGGCGTCAGGTGCATCTTCTTCTTCAAAGTAACATATTTTGCTCTCCCAAACTTTAAAGAAGTCTTGTGCAGAAGATTTGCTGAATGCAAGATATTATTTGATTTCTTTGCTGCTTCCATGACTGTTGATTTTGGACCTAAGTAAAATGAAATCCTTGACAACTTCAATCTTTTCTCCATTTATCTTGATGTTGTCCATTGGTCCAGTTGTAAGGAATCTTGTTTTCCTTATAGTGAGTTGCAATCCATACTGATAGCTGCAGTCTTTGATTTTCATCAGCAAGTACTTCAAGTGCTTTTCATGGTCAGCAAGCAAGGTTGTGCCCTTCTGCATATCATAGGTTGTTAATGAGCCTTCCTCCAACCCTAATGCTGTATTGTTCTTCATATAGTTTAGCTTCTTGAATTACTTGCTCAGCATTGTGTTTGAGTAAGTATGGTGAAAGGATATGACCCTGACACACAACATTCTTGATTTTAAACCATGCAGTATTTTCCTGTTGTGTTAGAACGACTGCCTCTTGGCCTATGTTCAGGTTCTGCATGAGCACAGGTAAGTGCTCTGGAATTCCCAGTCTTGGCAATGTTATCCATAGTTTGTTATGATACATACAGCTGCATAATTTTGCATAGTCAATAAAATGAAAGTTGTTCTTTCTGGCATTCTCTGCTTTAGGTCAAGGCCCATATGATAGCAGCAATGATATTCTTATTTCCACATCCTTTTCTGAATCTTAGGATGAAGATTGGGCTTTCTGTTCTCATAAAGAGCTACAATGTAGGAAACCCCAGGGAGCAGTTCTACCCTGTCCTGTAGGGTCACTGTGATTCAGCATTGACTCAATGGCAGTGAGTTTAGCTTTGCCTTTGGTTTCTGCAACTCTGACTTGAATTTCGGGCAGCTCCCTGTGGATGTTCTGTTGTGGCTTTAAAAAAATTATCATCAACAAAATCTTATTTGTATGTGATATTAATGATGTTGTTAAATGATTTTTGAACTCTTTGGGGTTGACTCTCTTTGGAATGGGCACACTTCTGAATCTCTTCCATTCATTCGGCCAAATAGCTGTCAATGCAATTTCTTGGCATAGACTAGTTTATGCTTTCGGTACTGCATTAGCTTATTGCAAGATGTGTTAGTCCAGGTAGACTAGAGAAACAAATCCAGAGACACTCATATGTATGTAAGAGAGAGCTTTACATCAAAGAGTAATTATATATTACAAAAACATCCCAGGCCAGTCTAGATCAAGTCCATAAATCTGTTATTAGCCCATATGTCTGATACCAGTCTATAAATTCCTCTTCAAACTCACAAAACACATGCAATAACGCCAAAGGCAGGAAGATCATAGACTAGTGGCTGGCAAGTCTTGTGGATCCAGTGGTGATGGAAGGATCTCAGCACTGAGATCCTTGTGTCCTCCAGCTCCAGGACTCTGGGTCCATATGGCTTGTCAACAGGAATGTCTAGCAGGGAGAGTGGGTGTCCTGCCTCCTGGGAGGAAGACAGGAGTTCCCAGAATCCTCAGGAGAAGGCCATGCCCATACAGAGGTCGCATTGGCCATGACCTGATTGACAGGCTAGACTCCACCCCTTCACTCAAGTTGATAGTAGATTATGTAACTGACAAACAAGACTTCTGTTGGCATCCCATCAGTTTCTGGAGCCCTGTTTTTGGAGAATGTCTTCAGGGCATCTTGAATTTGAATACCACTGACTTTCCAGCATGTCACCCTTTGAAATGGTGGAATGTCAACCATTTCTTTTGACACAATGACTCTGCGTATTCCTTCCGTCTTCTTTTGATACTTCCTGCATTATTTACTATTTTGCTCATGTAATCCTTCAATATAGCAACTTGAGGCTTGAATTTTTTTCTTTCTTCAAGAATTTCAACTCAAATTATGCCGACTATCTTCTTGCTTTTTGGTTTCCTAGCTCAAGGTCTGTGCACCTAGGCTGATGTAGTTTCATTATGGGCTCCATATTCAATAGCAACTTATCATATTTCTAAAGACAAGAGGCTATATTCACAATAACAATTCCTCATTGAGTATCCACTGTGCCTGTCCCTTAGCAGAATTATAGTGATGAGAAAGAAGTAAGACATATTCCTGTTCACAGGGAGGCAGTATTCAGTTGAGGAAAAAAACACATGAACAGAGCAGAGTGCCATGGTGTGACAAGCACTGTGAAGGATGCGCTTTAAAGCTCTCACAAGGATGTAAGTTGTAGGAGTTTCCAAATCAAACACACTGTCATTGAGTAGTTTCTGAGTCATAGCAACCCTACAGGACAGAGCAGAACTGCCTTTGTGGATTTCTGAAATGGTTTTTTTTTTAAATAGCACAGGAGGACATCAGGTACATGCAGATGGCAGTCCAGGGGTCACACCAGTCCCTTTCATCCTTAGGAAGAGAACTCTACTTTGTGGAACCTGGGAAACTTTGGGTGCTTGAATTGAGGTCAGAGCTGGAGTCAAGGCCTTGGCTGGAGCATCAGCCTTGCTTTGTGCCTTGGTCTTGGTCTTGACTTGGGCTGGAAGAGCCTCAGATCCTTGGCAATACATGTCCTAGCCCACCAAGCTTGGGGTGGGCCCTGTAGGCTAGTTGACTGAGCTTGTAGTTGACGCCCATTGTAATCTTAGCCTTGACCTACTTGGGCTTCACAAGACTCTTGATAGTCTTGGCACGAGTATCCTTGGCCTTGTTGGCCTGAATTTTATTCAGGCCTTTCTTGTTGTTCTTCTTGGCAAAACACATGTTCCTCAAGAACTTGGGGTCCATCCCATTCAGAGATCCATATCACTGAGATCAGAGTCTCTTGATGCCATTTCTGTGCCATTTCTGGGATTGGATGTGTGAGTGGTTCTTGGAGTTGGCCATGTCTGCACTGATACTTGCTACTCCAGAGTGCCAGAGACCAAGAGTAAGAGAGCTATAGCTGTAACTCTTTATGGGAGTACAAAGTCTCCTCTTTCTCTCGCAGTGTGGCTCTGGTTTTGCACTGCTGACCTTCCAGTTAGCATCTCAACAAACAACCCACTATGCAACCAAGGCTTTCAAGTTGTAGGAGGGCAGGGCTTTATTTTCCTTGCTTGGTTTATAGAACAGTACCTGATATATAGTACACACCCAATAAATGTTTGTTGTCAAGAACTAAAAGTACAAGACCTTCTGAGAACAACGAGGAGCCTGGGCATTTGTGGAGAGTACAGGAAAACACCTACTTGCAAGGACAGGTTGAAATTTCATGATGGTTGACATTGATGTCAAAATACATGGCCAGAAGTGATTCTATGGCAAAATGCATGCCATAGAAAATTTTAAACAAGGAAGTCATGTAATCAGTAGTGTACTTAATAGGTTGCCCAAGTAGCATAGATTACTGATATCCTCCAGAAAGTATCTGTGTATTTGCTAAGACACGCAAACTGCACCCATTTGCTAGAATAATTCCTGTTTTGGAAGAGCCAGAAACCAAAGGAAAAATCCTATCCTCGTCATCTATAGCTAATTGAATGTGGGTTGGGTTTGGGAAGCACAGACTAGTAACTGGTTGGAATATTTATTTGACCATTAGTACTTGATCTGCCCTTCGTCTTAGATAGAGCTCTACCATCT